GATGAAACTGGGTCACCTGTTGGAGGGCTTTCTGTAAGCCTGGGCACTAATCTGAGTTATGGGGACATATGGAAGGACTTCTTCCTCCTTTTCTCCCAGAGACACAGTGGGCAGGGCTGGCCTTGGACTGACCTTTCATAGCTGTCTTGGAGACTCCCCACATCTCACTGCATCAGGAGATCCCCAGCAGGTGCTGGAGGAAGGAGATGGAAGGATGGAGAGGGAGGGAGCGCTCTTCTAATTCCTAGAGGGGATGCTGCCCAATTCATGAATCACTAATAAAGCCAATTAGATATTCAATTTTTTTAAAAAAAGAACAGAAAGAAAGGGACTTCCCTGGTGGTCCAGTGGTTAAGACTCCGCACTTCCAGAGCAGGGGGCAAGGGTTCGATTCCTGGTCGGGGAACTAATATCCCACTTGCCATGTGGCACAGCCAAAAGTAAAAAATAAAATAAAATAAATTTGTTTAAAAAAGAAGGATGGAGAGGGAGAGGACACAGCTGCCTGCACGTGGTAGATCCTGATAAATAGGTGTTGAGTGCATAATGTTCAACCCCTGAGCTCCTACTGTATGCCCGGCATTGTGCTCAGTGCTACGGATACAAAGATGAATGAACCATAAACCACCATCGCTCAAACATCAGTTCTCAGGATCCGTCCTGAGGGTCTCCCGTGTGCCCCGTATGGGCACTGGGGAGCACTGGGTGAGTGGGACATCCCTGCATTGGGGGGTGGTCTGCGTGTTGGTGGCTACCCACAGGGCCGCAGCCTCCTGGGGCCGTCCAGCCTGTGTCAGCACCACCCTGGGCTACTGCCATCCTGGCAAGCTCGCAGAGGCCAGGCACTGACGGCTCCGCAGGGAGCAGAATATGGTTTCGGTCTATTATCAGGGCAGATAAAGCAGCAGCTGGAGCTCAGGGAGCAGTCTGTGCTTACAAATAAGCATCTCCAGATGCCCCACAACTCCCCCATCCTGCCTTTGTCAGCCACCCTGGCCTTCCAGTCCCTCTGAAAGCAGCCCCAGGGAAGAGGACACCTCCTTAAATAGCTGTGTGCGGTGCCAGGAATGGAAGGGTGAGGTGGCTGGAACCAGCCAGGCAGCTGACCTGGAGGCAGCAGCTGGATAGAAAGAGATTCCAGAGTTCAGAAAGAGCTGGACTGGGAAGCAGAGGGGCCGGTAATGTGGGGAGAACACCCAAGTCACCACCCTGCCACCCTGATCTTTGTATGTGCCCCACTGCTCAGCACAGGGATAGGCGCCCAGGAGAAGCGCAGACAGCATTTCCTGAATGAAGGCACAGTTGGCCGCGGTAGGTAAGGTTGACGGTTTCTCCAGTGACCAGGATTCCAGGTGTGGGGGGACTCACTGGAAGGGAAACTGGGTCCCCAGATCCTGTCTAATGGGGGAGAGTGCTGGAGGAAAGAGAGCCTTGCCTAAGAGAGCCATGGAAACAAGTATTAAACAATAGAGGACACACCATGTTTTAACTCAACAACTATTTCCATGCGCACCTACTATGTGCCAGCTGTGATGGAACAGTGGGTAAAACAAAGTCCTGCCACCACAGAGGCTGCTATTGAGAGCTCTCCCCAACAAAGACGAGGAAGGGGGCTATCTGGGAAGACTTCCTGGAGGAAGGGGGCAGGCAGGCTGGCTGAGTGGCCAGCATGAAAGCTCAGAGGCAGCCAGGAGGGAGGACCGTGCAGGAGGGAAGAAGAAAGCTGAGTGTCTGAGGCCTGAGAAATGAGGGCTCTTAGGAGGAACCATCCTCATGGGGTAAGCAGCCACAGTAGGTGGATGGAGAGTGGGCAGGAGGCCACTAGGAGTCCCCTGTTGCTGGGACCTGGCATTTCCTCCTGGGGAGGAAGGAGGCGAGAAGGTGCAGTGTTTCCCGGGGAACGGGGGTCTGTTGCAGCCAAGGGGCCCTCCCTGGGAGCAGCTGGCGGAAGTGGGGCCTCCTGCCAGTTTCCGTTTGTGCAATCCTCCTTCCTGCCCCCTCCACCCAGAAGCAGGCCTGGCAACCCCGCCGGATGTCACTGACATGAGCCCAGCACCCACACAGCTGGGCAGGGGCTGAGGTACCTACCCTACATGGAAGGAGAGGTACCTGGGCAGCTTATGGCTCGGTCCCTGCCCTGCCCCAAATGCATGCCTGACCAAAGTCTAAGCCTAATGGGGCTTCTGCCAGCTTAGGGAGGATTCCTCCTGCCTCCTTCTTTTGCAAGAAGGACCATGAATCTTCTCGTCCACCTGAGGCACCTGGCCGTGACAGGAGGGCATCAGAGTTCCCTCCCTGTGCTAAGCAGGAGCTAAAGCAGCGGGAGGCCAGGCCTCTGGGAGTCCCCACCAGTGGACGCGTGCCACCCCAAGCGGAGGGCCCAGCGTCTGGCTCCACGACCCACCTGGGGTCTGTCGCTCTACACCATCCGAGGCTCTTGGTGTTGCATCCTGTGTTGCAATATCACATAACAAGTGCCCGGCGTGGAAGGGTGGCCTTTTACTCATTCCAGAAGGGAATAGTCATCAAGAACCTACTACATGCCAGGCATTGTGCCAGGCCCTGGAACCTCAAGGAATAAAACCATCACGTGGTCCCCGGGCTCACAGAGCTTCACAGGGTAGGCAGGCACAAGTAAACAACAACAACAGATCATCACAAATGGGCTAAGTGCTGTGAGGACAGGAAAGTGTAATTAGCCTGTGCTTACCTCTCCCTGACCCCAGAGGCCCGCCCTCAGTACAGAATGCCCACAGCTGCCTGACGTCCCCAGAGCACTGCTTGGCTAGAGACCTTGGATCACACTGGAAACCACTGAGTACCTGGCATAACAATGGGATTGACCACACAGTGAGGAACATTTGTCGAACCAAACTGGAAAAAAAGTTTTAATTAAAAAACATTCAAATCATCCAGTACAATCTAATTTTACAAGCTACTAAGCCCCAGAGAGGCCAAGCGTTTGGCCCCAAACCACGCAGCTGGTGAGTAGCAGAGCCCAGACCAGAAACCAGCTCTGCCAGCACCCCCATGCTGCCCCCTGGTCTATCCTGGACCAGTCCACAGCCTCCAGGGCTCTGCAGCCTCCTGGCCCATTTCGGATGCCTTCTTTGCAGATCAGCACTGGCTGATAGAATTGTACTCGGCGATGGAAGTGTTCTGTATCTGCGCCAGCACGGACACATGACGTCGCTCGTCAGGTTCAGGGAAACGGGCCCACTTCGGTGGGGGTGGGAACGGGCAGGGCCTGTGGAGAGAAGGAGAGCGTGAGGAGATGAAACACAGAGAGGAAGAAGGGCAGCAGGTGCAAAGAATCTTGTTTGACATTCCAAGGAATCTTCTAGACCTTAATCCACGGAGAGCCACTGAAGGACTTTATGCCAAGTGATGAGATGCCTGCATTGCAGCCTTCCTGGGTCCCCGAGGAGGCTGCTGCTCCCCTGAGCTCCGTAGCACCTCTGACACCCCAGCCACGCTGGCTCCCGTCATCGTCACCGTCCTACACGAACGGTTTGCTGCCATCTTAGCCTGAAAGAACCTCCCCACACCCTTCCTGGACACGTCTTCCTCTTCCTTCAAGCCTTTGCTCACTGCCCCAAACACCTTCCCCCGGGTCAGTGCCTCTCCCGTGTCTCCACAGCCTGCCTGGCACGTGGAGGGAGCTTCACAGGCACAGTTTTTAATGTCTCCATCCTTGCTATTGGTCCCCCTTTCTTGGCCGCAGCCCTTCCCAGTCTACTCTCAGCTTCCCAGTCCCCAGTTCTGGGACCCTCAGAAATTCTTTCCACCAAGCCACGGATTGCACAAAGAGACGGGGCACTGACCCAGGCTAGGGCATAGGTGTGGGTGTCCATTTTGGAGAGAGGAGGAGAGAGGGGCAGAAAACCTAAGCAGGTTCATCTGGGAAGCTTCCTGGGGAAGTGGCCCAGCCTTCCCATCATGCCCTGGGGCGAGGCTAAGAGTCTTCCTCGCCCAGAGTCCCTGTCTGTCTCGCCAAGAGCCACGTCCCGCCCCAGAGCCTCAGGCAGGCTAGGATGTGCTCACTGGCACATTCATCCAGCAACTATGCATTGCTGTCTTGCATTATCCCAGGCCTGCCTGGGCCAAAGGGGGAAAACACACAGACGAGGCACTGAAACTGTGACACGGGCATGCCATTCCCATAACGCCATCCAGCCGGGCTGCAGGGCCAGGATGCCTCTCCTATCCCAGGGCTGAGAGATGGAGGAGCCCTGGACCAGGACTCTCCCAGAGGGACAGGCAGGCAGGGAGGCGAGAAACAAGAGGTGGATGGGAGTGAGCAGGAGATACAACAGCTGTTGGGGGGTAGTGACCTGGAGAGAGAAATAGAAGGAAGGAGGAAGTAGAGAAAATAAGAAAACTCCCCCTTGATTCTCCGAGGACCAATTTCAGGGGCCCAAGCCTCCCCCATTCTTACCTCTGGCCAGCGCCTGTCCCACTTCCACCTTTACTCGGCCTCCTGGATGATCAGGATTTGCCTCCTGTCGCCAGTTACAGGGGACCAGGGGCAAAGGAGGCGGACTCGCGGTGGAAGGTGGGGGATGGAGATTTCTGTCCCTGGACTTGTAAAGATCAAGCAGGACAGGGCTCCAGAATCCCTAAGGGGCACAAGACGCTGTCTCCAGCTGGGCTCACCCAAGCTCATGCCCCACCAGAAGCCCTAAGAAGGTTTGTCTGTGAGTAGATCCAGGAGGGGTTGGGAGACTGCCCAGGTACCCAAACATACCCCAGAGAGACTGAAATTTTTGCCCACCCTCCACCTTCCCTCTCCTAACCCCTGCCAGGCTTCCTGTCCCCTGGGGGCCTGAACCCCTAGGAAGTTTGGGCTCATATCAAGGCCAGGAGAGGGTTTATGTCAGGTCCTCGGTTAGGGTGCAAAGTCAGAGGCCTGTACAGTGGACCCCCAAGGATGCTAACTCAGGGGTGGAGGAGGCATGCGTGAAGCTAGGGTAGGGAAGGAGAAGGGGAGGAAGGTGGGTCTGGGTGCTTCCATGGAGTTATGTTTGGGGCTTTTTTGCTGTACTTCCTGTTCAGCACAGCCTGTCACAGTCGGAGTTGTGACAGCCAAAGACACCTCTGTGACTGCACCCAAGGAAGACTTCTGGGCCAGAGAGGAAGCAGCAGGTGGGACCACATTCCTCTCCCCACACACGGCGTCCAAGGTGAGCGTGCCCTCCGTGCTTCCAAGAAGCCAGGCCACCCGCAAGGAAGGCCGCCCAGTGCTCGGACCCCAGAGACCGCCCTGCAGGGCCAGCCTCGAAGCCAGGGACTGTGACTTGTCAAAACACAGGGGCTGACGGAGGTCAGCAAGGAATAGCAGACTTAAGTTATCCAAAGGTGCTCTGGAGAATTGAGCATCCAGCTTAAAGACAGTTAGGTGGAATCGAGCCCCGGATGGTAAGAAGATAGCTTCCTTTTCTGTCCCACTGCCCTTTCCAGGAGTCACCTAGCTTAGAGGCTAAGACAAGAGGAAGGACTCAAAATTCCAATTGTCTGGGTTCAAATCCATTACTTATAAATTGCTATCAACAGACCAGACACTCAACCCCTCCGAGCCTCAGCTTCCCCCTCTGTAAACAGGGCTGATGAGAATTAAAGCCTCTGCGAAGGATGTGTCGTGAGGATTAGAGGAGCTAATCCATGTAAAGCACTGGGGACGTACATGACGTGTCTGCTGCTATCTTGGCACCAGCAGGGCCCATATGCCTTTGTCTGCCCTCCCCCCTCCCCGCAGAGCACACGGGGGTAGTCAGGGTTGGGGCGGGCAGGGTGCTGATACCAGGTCAGGGAGGCAGGTGGGCGCTGCATGGGGGAGGTGAAGCATGTGTCAGGAGGGGTTGGGAAACTGCCCAGGTACCCAAACTTACCCTAGAAACACTGCACAGACACCCCTGCAGTGACCCCATCACCAGAAGTGTCTCAGCAGCCCACCCCAGCATCAGAGCCTGGGATCCAGCCTCAGGATAGGCTCGTGCCCTCGGGGCAGATTCCTGTGCCCCAGTGGAGCCAGAAATGCCCACTGTGTAGGACAGAGGTCTAGCCTGGGAGGCAGGAGGCCTGGAAGGGGCGATGTGACCCAGGCAGGAGCTCCCATCTCCAGCCTGTCTCCCCCTCCAGTCCCAGAGATCTCTCCACCCCTGTGACCACAGGAGTCTCTCCCAGGCACGCTCCTCTCTCTGCTGTAGCCCCACCACGTAGGGTGGTGCACCAGGTCCAGGGAGGGCACACAGAGCCATCCAGCCACGGCAAGAGCACCCAGGGACATCAGGCCAGGGAGGAAGGAAGAGACAGGCCCAGGAGAGCTGGAAAGTGCCTGGAAGTGGAAGAGCGGTGCCTCCAGAACTTCAGGAAGGCAGGAGGGAATGCCCTGGGCTGGCCGAACCCTCTGCCACTCCATCAGAGGCTCTGTGGGAGCAAATCAGTGTCTTTTCTACTTACACTTCATATTTAAGATGAAATTTTTTTTTTAGGTTTGGGCAGGGATGACTTTTTAATTTATTTGTTTGTTTGTTTATCTGGTCGCGCAGGGTCTTAGTTGCGGCAGGCAGTCTCCTTCGATGTGGGATGCGAACTCTTAGTTGCGGCATGCGTGTGGGATCTAGTTCCCTGGCCTGGGCCCCCTGCATTGGGAGCGCGGAGTCTTACCCACTGCACCACCAGGGAAGTCCCCATGCTGAGTCTTGAACCAAGTCTCACTTGTCCAAAGCCACAGGCTCTTGACCTTGACCATCTATTTCCTCTCCAGCCCCTCAGATGGTGGAAGGCACACAGTAGGTGCTCAATAAATAATAGATCAAAGGCAGGAAGGAGGGAGAGCAGGAGGAAGAAAGGAAGAGGAGAAGATAAGCAGGGGAGACTCTTGCGCATGTAGAAAATAAACAGTCAAGGTGCGGTTTTCCAATGCCAGACTGGCACGGTGCCCAGGACGGCTGCCCTACACTCAGGAGCCCAGGGCCTGCGCTTGCCTCATCTTTTCCAGAAATATGTAAGCCTAGATACGTCAGCCTTCAGGTATGCAGTGAGGTCTTCGGTGAGAGGCATAGCTCTCTCTCTCTCTCTCTCTCTCTCTCTCTCTTTCTCTCTCTCTCCTTCTTCGTTGAATCTGCCTTTCCTCTGGCTACCACCCGACACCCACCCAGCCAGCCAGCCCAGCTATGTCCCTCTCCCCTGGAGCCAGGCCTGGCTTGGTTGGGAGGTCTATGAAGAGCCCCCCTCAGCAAGGCAGATCTCTGCCCCGGGAGGAGATGGGTACATGGTGCCGGGGGAGGGGCAGGAACCACATCATCTAACAGGTTGGTCGGGCTGAGAGGCGTCACGCCTTCGAGGAGCTAATGAGCACTGTGTGACAGGTGTCTGCTCCTCAGTCCCCAGCCTGCCCTGCCTGCGACCGGAGCCAGCTGCCGCCACCCCTCAAAGGCTTGCTTGCCCATCACTGCGCCCTGCCCACTCTGGGTCCCGGGGACCTGCAATGGCCTGCCGCTCCTGCATCGTCGGCTTCGGCAACCTCAACAGCTGTGAGGTGACCCAGGCGAGTGGTCCCTGGTCTGGGACCTCCGGATGGAGCAATTACAGGGCCCCCGAGCCGGGCTTCAGCTCCAGCAGTCTCACAGGCTGCCTGACAGCTAGCACCATCCCCAAGGTGACCGTGAACCCCAGCCTGCTAGTACCTCTGGACCTCAAGGTGGACCCAGCCATCCAGCAGCAGGAGAGCCAGAAGATGGAGGAAATGAAGGTCCTCAATGATAAGTTTGCCTCCCTGATCGGCAAGGTGAGCAAAAGGTGTGGAGGGGCTGTCTCAAAACTAAGCCCTGGGCAGGTGGCTGAGCTCTGTACTTCCCAAGCATCACGTCCCACGCCCGCCCCCAGCCAATGGGAAGTCGGCACTGCTAACTCCGCAGGCTAGCTCTGAGCGGAGAGATGGGGAGGGAAGTGCCTGCGCCACCCTGATGTGGGGGAGAAAGGGACCCCGGAATGGCCTCCGAGGGGTGTCAGGATAATAATGTGCTGCATGGCCTGGGGTCACCCTCCCTCCCAGGCGTGGACTAGGGAGGGGCTCTGAGTGTGACCAAGAGGATGTCCCCTCATAAGAATGGCCGATGGGGGCACGGGCTGCATGCAGTCGGACTCCAAGGTAGATGGACAGGGCCCACCTTCCTGTCCACGCTGCTGGCTCTGTTCAGCTTCCCAGGGTCAGAAACACCGGCAAGGGCTGGGGCGGGGGGGCGGGCAGCATGTGTGGGGAGGCCAGAAGGAGGCTGCAGAATGGGGCTGCAGCTGTGGCTTGTCAGGAGATAGGAATGCAAGGGATGGATGCTGCGAGTCAGAAACAGGTGGCCAGCCGGTCCTCCCTGCACCCTGAGTAGAGGGATTGAGTCCCTGGCACCCCACTTCCTGGACCCCACTGCCATGGCCAGCATGCCGGTCTGGGCACTGGTGTCCATCTTCGGCCCAGGGCAAGGGCTTCAAGGGCTCCAAGGAAGTCCTGTCTACCTCCCGAAGCCGGTCTCGCTCACCTCCTCCAAGGACCTCCCCTAACCAGCCCTCCCGGCTCTGCTCCCTGCTGCCCTGCCCAGAATAGGAGCCAGGTTAACAGCTACTGATCATTAACAGCCCACCACGTGCCAGGAACTGTGCTGGGTACCTTACGTATTTATCTCAATTTCCCTCAACCCTAGGAAAGAAGTCATTTTCATGCCCATTTTACAGATAAGGAAAACTCAACTTGCTTGCCCCCCACCCCTCATCCTTCTGCCCCTAGCTGGGTCCTTCTCTTCCCCTTGCTCTCCCAGCCTGTGTCCCTCTGTACTTCCACTAGGTGGGCACTCACAGAGAGGGGAAGAGGGAAGAAAGTAACTTCTGGAGCACCGGCTTGTGCTCTGCCCACACCACCCAGCGCTCCACAGTGGCTAGTTCCCCTCCTGTGTAGACAGAGCAGCCCAGGGGTGAAGTGCCTTGCCCAAGGTCACACAACCAGCAAGGGTACGGTCTGGACTTGAACTCAGGTCTGTGAGACACGAAGCCAGTAGCCTCCGAAGTGGGAGTCATTTCTCCCCGGCCCCCTCTCCCGCATTCATGCGTCCAGACCAGCATTCCTGCACCCACACCTGGGGTGCCTGGGGTAGGGGTGTGGAGGGGAAGTGACAACTGGAGGACAACCAGAGCCTAGGAGAAGAGCTCGCTGCCCTGGGAAGGCAGGTCCCTGCAGGGCCACCTCCTCTCCAAATACAGCTTAATCCCTTAAAAGGAATGTTTCATGAGCTACGTAATTTGTAATTCGGCGCGGTTGGGTGGCTTTCTCCCTGGACGCCAGGGCTGATATCACCCTGTGTCTCTCCGCCATGGGGACAGGAGGGGTGTGTAGGCACAGGGAGGGGCCCGAGGGGTCTGGGTTCTGTTCCCAGGGCCAGGGCGATGCCCTCTAAGATCTTCAGAAGAACTGGAGCTTCCCAATCCGCAGTTCAAGACTTGGCCTTGAGGAGGGTGCTCTTCAGGGTGGGACGCAGGCAGCCGGGGTGCCAGCCCCTTGGGGAAGCTGATCACTGGGGCTCTGCCCAAGGAGTCCCAGCCGATCCACCAACTCTATGGAGAAGGTCTGTTATTAGCTCAAATCCCTCCTTGTAAAGACCGTGAGGGCCCAAGTGGAAGCAAGCAGAGGTTAAGAATGTGAAACCTGGAGTCGCGTTGCTGGGTTTGAATCCTGGCTTCACCTCTGACCGGCTGCATAACCTCAGGCAAATTATTTAACCTCTCTGTGCCTCAGTACACATCGGTGTAATGAGCTTGTCAAACGGGATCATTTTTGAAAAGCATTTATAAAGCCCTTACCACGTACCAGGTGCATTCTGTTTGTTATATTAAAAATACCATAAATGGGCCCGGCCCAGGGAACTCCTGAACCCATTTAGTCCCTTCCAGGCAGGAGGGAGCCTGGTAAGAGGGAAGGAAGGGCCCTGATGGAGGGAGGGGGGTGGGGAGCTTCGTGGGTAGGCGTGCAGCATGGGGCTGGATAGAGATGCATGAGTCAGGGGGTGAGACGCCACCACCAGTGGAGGGGTGGGCTCTAGGCAAAGAGAAGAGACAGGCAGGGCCACCCTCCAGCTCCACATCCCCTTCTGGGCCCTCTGAGGCACCGAGAGAAATCAGAGAGCACTGAGGAAGAGGAGGAAGAGGGAGAGGGTCGGCGGAGAGACCCCCAGGAGTCCACCGAGGGGCCCTGGAGCGATGCTAATTCTTCCACTTGGAGGCTGTGTTTCCTTTGGCAAGGCACTTACCCTCTCTGTGCTTCAGACTCCACTTCCCTGCTCTACTCCTGCTCTGAGGGTAGCCCTGAGCTCATGCCAGTGGAAGGACTGGTACAGCTGCAGCCATGAAGGAGGGGAGGCCGAGGGAGGAAGGGAGAGGGCAATGCCAACATCCAGCAGAGGCTGCTGGCTGGGCCCTCTCACCTTCACACGCAGACACCAGAGGGGATGGAGGTGGGACAAGAGGGAGGACTCTACCAGTGGCGCCCAAGGAGGCTATAGAGGGGGAATCCCAGAGGGGTGGTAAAATGGCTGGGGACAGAGAGTCGGGCACAGTGTCTTCCCTTGGTGTGTGTGGCCTCTGGAAGTCACCAGAGCCATTGGGCACCTGCACGAGGGAAGGCACAAACCAGCCCTTCCTGACGAAGAGACCCTGAGGCTCCTTAGGCAAAGCCAAGTTCTGGCTGGAGGCAGAGGATGTGACCCCACCCGCACCTGAGGAATCGGACCTGCAAGCCCCAGAGGCATCGCTCCGAACGCTCACGTGCACGGACTGTGGGCCATGGGCTGGGGACGTGAAGCCTCCCAGGCGGTCAGCCCCCACCCTCCTCAGAGGGGGGTCCCAGCCCAGCCCAGGCTGCTCAGCTCCCTCCACAGAAAGCACATCTCTCCCCACCCTCATCTGGGCCTGCTTTTCAACAGGGCGGCCCAGGACCCTGGAGTTGGGTCACAGTGAGTTCTGTGCTTCTGAGCCTGTTCCTTCACCTGTAAAATGGGAAGCAGGTAGACCAGGGGCTTGCTCTCTGAGGCTCCTCCTAGAGCTGCCGCCTGTGATCTAAGGGCAGGGGTCAGCCAGGACGGGGAGGAAGGGGAATGAGAGGGGGGTGTTCGGCAGCCTTGACAGGTTGGAAGCAGTTAACCCTGCACCTCACAGGGTGCCAGGATTTCCTGCCCTCCCAAGGCCTTTGTTCCGAGAGAGGGAGGAGCCCTTCCGCAGGGAAGGTTCTGGGTGGGGGATGAGTTTCCATCCCCACCCACTGAGACAACAAGCAACTCCCCCAAGGGCAGCAGGGAGAGGGGGCTTCCCTGGATCCCCCAGAGGCAAAAGTGCCCTTGGACTGGCTGGCCAAATGCACACCATCTCCCAGCAGGCAAGTACTAAAGCATAGGGGATCAAGGTTAGACTAAGGGAAGGACTTCCTGGTCTAAAGGGTTTTTTGGTTGCTTATGGGTGGAGGAAGGAGCCTCACATCTCTCCTCTCACCCCACCCCCAGTATAAACATGGGGCTCTTACTTGTCAAAACACAGGGAAGGTGGAGTGAGCAGAAACCTGCCCTCACCCCCACCCAGCAATCCCTCACACACACAAGTAGGACAGAAACTCTCTCGACTGCATCCCTACTGAACCTGTTTGATGGCGATGACATTAAACTGTAGGCTTAAAGTCAGCTTCAAGCAGAATTTACCGGGACCAGTGGGAGTTAAGGAGGGGATGACAGCCCACAGATGCCATTGTCCAGTGTTCCCGCTGGCGTTGTCTACTGCAAGGGTCAAAGGGGCCTCCCGCAGGGCAGAGCATCTCAGGGAAACCCGGGGACGTGGGCAGGACAGAAAGAGAGGCGAGCCCACCTGGCACCCAAATTCAGGAGGAAGAGGACCACGAATGTCCAGCGCAGGCAGCTGCCGTCAGATGGGCCTGTGTGTGCAGCTTGGCCACCGAGTTGCTGTGGACACCCTGGACACGTGACCTGACTGCCCCGGGCCCCTATCTCCTCCTCTGTATATGAAGGGTATAGACCCGCTGATCCAAAAGGCTCCTGGCTGTGGTTCTGGCTCTTTCAGGATGTGACTCTGGGAGCTGATGCCAGCCGTGGATGGGAGGAGGTCCAGCTACTTGCCTGCGGTCATAGGGAACCTCACCAGGCTCGTTGTCACAACATCCTCACGACAACAACAGCCTGCACTGTCCAGGCGCCTAGCCCCAGCCACCCGTCTCGCCTCGGTGGCTTACCCGCGTCCTGGGCTCTGACGGGCTAGGGACCCCAAGAGGCAAGCAGATGGCTCTCAGTCTGATAGGGTGCGTGGGGGATCAGGACAAACAAGGGCCAAATACTGGAGGGAAGAGGGGAGGCGGCTGGGAGCACGTGGAGGAGGGGCTGGGATGGTGGGAAGGAGAGTGAGTGCCCGAGAAAGGTCGGGCCTGGAGAGGACAGGCGGGGTGGGGAAGAGGCAGGGGGAGCCCCCAGGCTGCGCTGGGCTGAACTGGGTGGAGGGAAGGAGAGGACTCAGGAGGGACCCTGTCAATCTGCCGGTGGCTGGGGCGGGAGCTGTAGGAGCCCCTGCAGAAGTCTGAGCAGGAGAGTGTGAAGAGGACGCAGAGTTTGAAAGGAGCCCTGGGCCCAGAGCCCTCCCAGTCTCTGTTCTCAAGGCAAGACCGGCCCTAACTAGAGGCAGGAGCCAGCCCAGCAAGGGCAGCTGGGTCCCAGGGCCTGCAGAGACCTTGCAGCCAACCGGAGGCCTATGCTGCAGCGATTCAAACATTCTAAACCCAAACTGCCTGGATTCCGCACCTGGCCCTGCCGCTTGCTAATTGTGTGACCTTGCGCGAGCTATTTCACCTCCCTGTACCCTGTTTCGTTGTCTGTAAAGTGCAGCTGAAAATAACACCTACCCCGTCGGGTTGTTTGGGGATTTAGTGCGTTAAAGATGTCCAGCAGGTAGAAAAAGGCCCGGTGCACAGTGGGAGCCAGAGCAGAGTTTGCTATTTGCTGCTCCAAAGCACATCCCCGGGTTCTTCTCTCTGCAGGTGGGCAGGGCAGGTGACATCATCCCTGACTTCTAGCTGGGGAAACTGACGTTTGGAGGGGCTACAAGTCCAGGGTTGTCGGGAGGATTAGCATTTAAGAACTAACCAGGCCCTACCCTGCTGAGTTTCCAAGGCAAGATGAGACCGGGTGGGCGGCAGACAGGCCTCTGACACCCCACGTTCCTTGGGGTCTCCCACCCAAGCCCCAGGCAGGCCTGGAGAGCCTGTCACATGTGGGCACGTTCACAGCTTAGTCCCCCTTCCCTCATCTCCTTGGCCCCCGCCCTCCCGTAGGAAACCTTGGCTAATTGTCTCCACCTCCCTGGGATTCTCAGATTCCATCCTTATCTCACCATCTGCAGTTTGAACAATCAGTAATTGGAGATGCCACCTGAAGGCTCTGAGTGAGGGCCCCGGGGTGGGTGTGCTCGTGGGTGTGCTCCGGACAGCTGAGCTGCCACTTCTCACGGAGGCCCCCGGAAGGGGCGTGAGCTGGCTGGGCCGCACCTGGCCCTCTCACGGCAGCCCTTCCGCTCTCCCAGGTGCGAGCCTTGGAGCATCGCAACCAGCTGCTGGAAACCCGATGGCGCTTCCTGCAGAGCCGGGACTTGGCAGCCTTTGACCTTGGACACCTCTACGAGGAGTACCAGGGCCAACTGCGGGAGAAACTGCGCGAAGTGAACCAGGAGGGGGGCCAGCTTGAGACCAAACTGCGGCAGGAGCTTGAGACGGTGAAGGCGTTTCAGATCAGGTAGGGGCGCCCTATGGGCATGTGGGCCGGGACTGAGGCTGGGGACCAACCTGCGCTCAGGTGCAAGGTCTGGGAGCCCAGGCCAGAAAAAGAGGAAACTTCTTTAGAAAACAATTCTTTAGTCCACACTTAATTATTCAAGACGTGCAATGTGCTAGCGGTACTCTAAATACGGGGAGGATATGACAGTGAAGCTACAGTGACCCCCCAAATAGTGACCCTTACGACGAAGCCAGTCTCATGCTGGCTGACGACCAAGCCCTGTGCTTGCTGGCCCCTGGGCACTGTCACAGCTCGCATCCCCATTGTGCCCATAAACACACTGGCTCTCGGCCACACGACCCTCTGGCAATAGGAAGTTGTGTCACTAGCTAGAGCAACAGATGGGCTCCTGCTTTGAATGTTACCTGGGATTTTGACCTCTCTTGGACTGGCAAGGAGCAGAAATGGTGGGGTTTGTTTGCACAAGGAAACAGTCCCCTAGAGGTAATGCGTGCCTGACCTCAATGGTGGACTTGGGATCTAGAGAGAGAATGAGGAAAACAGCCCCAGCCTGCAGGATGCTTTTATAACCTAATGGGACACACAGACAGGGGGACAAGCAGCTGGCAAGCAGTATGGCCCAGTGGTTAAGGGCCCAGGCTTGGGCATGACTATGTCCTGTGGAAGGGGGTTACTCCCTGCCCACACCCCTCATTAGCTCTGTGACCTCGGGCAAGTTGCCTCACACGTGAACCCCAGTCTCCTCCCGTGTGGAGGGGGAAAGGTGATGGTTGATGCCAAGCCAAGGCTGGTGTGAGGAGGAAGTCGAGAGTTCAGCGTGGTGCCTGGGGCTGATAAACGGCTACTTTTCTGACCCCTAAAAGGCTGAGTGCCCAGCACACAGCGGTCCTTGACTCGGGCTTGCTGAGCTGACTCAGCCAGTCTAGAAAGGCAGACCAGTTACCCTGGTAGCTCAGAGGAGAGGTGACCCTTTCTGACCAGACAACGGCCACGGCTTCAAGGACAAGGAGGCTGGGCAGGGCAGAGAGGCCGGTCTCCTTGCAAGGAGGCCCCCGGCCAGGGTGAGGGGAGGACAGGGTGCGGTTGAGCCCGCACCCTCCTCCAGCAGGGCTTGGGCCAGACCCCAGACCAGTGATCTGAGGCGAGGCCCAAAGCCTCCAGAGTCAGAGGGTGGAGGCAGCCTGTCAGGAGTCCAGGGACCTGGCTCGGCTTTTGCCCACCGCCTCTCCGCATGGCCTCCCCTGCTCAGACCACATTCAGAGGGGAGGGTCACACAGAGAGCTCTCCCCTCTCTGGGGACCTCAGTTTCCTCATCTGTGGATCTGGCTGGAACTTCCCAGCCAACTGGCATGATCTACAGCCCTGGCCTGAGCTGGTCCTCGAGGCTGGGCCCCTTTCTGACCTGGGGGCCACCTTTCCCCCGAGCCCTGCCCTCCCAGGTCCTAGGGAAACACACAGGGAATCTGATTGCCCATTCTGACGGTGACGAGGCAAATCATATTGGTGCACCAGAGCCCACGACTCATTTCACTGATACCTAGCAGGTCTTTGGCCCTCAAAGGAGCAGAGGATGGCAGAGCTGGATGGCAACTTGGATCCTCCTTTTATGGGGAAGGAAACAGAGGCCCAGAGAGGGCGGGGGCTTGTCCTCAGTCACGTGGCCATGCATACTAAGTCCCATCCCTAACCTCACAAGCTCCCGGGTGAAGCTGTTCCCGTGAGAGCAGCAAGATCACATCCACAGAGGCACTTTGTAACTGGAAATTCTGTACAAACACTACTTGTTGCCTTAATCTGGCTCAGCCCCCCTCATTTGGCCTGCTGCCTGGTTTGCGTCTGCTGCCTGATTTTACTGTTTAGGCTCAGGGCCTCTCTCCCCCTCTCTGGGTAGGGAACACACCTGAGTTGGGGGAGGTAAGGCTGGAGGGTTTCTGGGTCTGCGGGCCAGAGCCACAGAAGCTGAAGCCTGGCTGTGCAAAGCCTGGGGCCCCCAGGAGCCAGGAGGCGCCAGACCAAGCCCTGACAGGGAGGGGTGTGCCTTGAGTCTACAAGGCCGATGAGATCAGCTTCACTCCTAGAAATAAACAAGTTTGGTGGGGGGAGGTATGGGTGTGACGAGCTGAAAAGGGCTAAGAATGGTTTTGGGAGCCGGTGGCTGACAGACTGGCAAGGGATTGGTGGTGAATAGGGGGACATGGCATCACGTAAGCCTCTATAGGAATGGAGACTTCCAAAAGCTTTGATGTAGCAGGGACCCCAAGGATCAGCTAGCTAACCCCTCTATTTACTAAGGATGAAGCAGAGGCCCAGCAAGGGGAAGCAACTTGCCCAAGCCCACACAGCAAGTGACTCAGGAATGTCGCATACGATTTTGTAAGCTGTCTGGTGCACAAGAGCATCTGTTTGAGGGGGTGAACTGGAATTGAAATGCAGTGGAGTCAACGAGAAGGGGGCTGGAAGGCTGCACAGAAGGCTGGGAAGGGCAGTGAGGGGTAAAAAGGAGGTTTGGCACCTCGGAGGGCTCCCCACTGGACAGTTCTCCCCAAGGTCCTGCACCCAGGCTGGCAGAACTCTGCTATCCAGAGAAGAGGGGTGGGGGGAGGGGAGAGGCTGGACACAGGGCGTGCATGGGGAAGGCCAGTCAGTGGGAGCTGCTCAGCTTGGGGCTCCCCAGACCCCTGTCCCCAACTCAGGAGGCCCCCAGATTCCAGAGGGAAGCCTCTTCAAGTCAGATTTGTGAAGGATGTGCAGAGAACTGCCCCCTCCCTCCCCTGCAATGAGGGTTCCCGTGGTTTCTTTCTGGAAATGCTGAGACAGAGGGGCTGAGGGCCGGGGTCTGGTGTTGGAGAGGAGGGAGTTTGGGTAATAATAATAGCAGTAGCTTTAGTGGGTGCCACGCACCATTGTAAACACTTTATGTATTAACTTATTTAATACTCACAACATCAACATTATCATGACAAAGGCACACAGAAGCAGCCTATCCAAGGTCACACAGCTAGTTAGCAAGACAGTGAGGAACTGAACCCAAATAGTCTGGCTCTGGAGCCCCATGCTTAACCAGCACACTGCACAAGCCTCCAAGCCCCTCTCTGTGCCTCGATTTCCTCATCTGTGAAATGGGACCAATAGGACATCCCTGGCTAGCAGCTCTGAGGGTCACAGGAGGGGGTGCAAGTAAAGCTTCTTGGGCATTTTGTTTGCCCTGGCAGGCCCCAGATTGCAGACCAGTCTCCCTGGCCCTCCCCACCACCCTGCCCCCATGACCCGTACTCTCAGAGTCCCTCCATACTCTCAGAAGCCGAGGTAGTGACCGGGGAGAGTGCAGGTCCTCAGCACACTGAGTTCCAGAGGCCCAAGTGCCCCATGGGCTCTCACCCCCTGGGGCCTGCTCCCCTGAGTCCCTCAGGGAGGCTGGGGGAAAAGAAGGTCTAGGGGAAAAGAAGGCAGGTCCAGCTAGTTGACGTGGGCGATGGGTGACGCTGTCCCATCTGTGAGGTCAGGGACTGGGGCAGGCGGGTGGCTGTAATTAGAGCTGCCAGTGATTCAGGCATTCCCTGAAGAGGAGGGGAGAAAACAGGAAGCCACAGAATCCCCACATCCGCTGGGGCAGGCAGGGCTGCAGGTGGGAAGCGTGCAGCTGGCCGACACCAACCCCGGGGGCCAAGAATGTAAGGTCAAGGATCCAGGGAGCCCGTCTCCCCATCCAACAGCGTTCTTGTTCTGAAAACGAGGTGGACTGAGTAAGGAAGAGGCACATCTGAGGAGAGAGGGAACCCACCTTTGTGGAATGCTGGTGGGCTTCAGCCCCCCTGCACACACGCATGCACCCATGCACATGCACACGTGCATACCGCGAAAGACAAGCGAGGGGGTGGAGTTACCTGCCCCCAAACACACCGGGGGCCCATCTGACTGCAAAGTCCATGCCCTTCCTGTCCTCCCTCTGCGGGGAAGATGGCATGGTGTCCTGCTGTCTAGCAAAGCAGTGGGGATAAGGGTGGGGCTGCAGGGACAGGTAGAGTTAGGAGAGGATAACGTGCAAGGAAGATGCTCAGAGCAGACTCAACCAAAGACAGCTTGTTTGAAACTGAGACTCTCCAGGGAGGAGATGGGAAAACGATGAGGGAACAAAACGTCAGGGTGAAAGGGCGGCACAATCAGGAGGGGTTTCCTGGAGGAGGTGACTGTGAAGCACAGCCAGGAAAGGGGCAGATGCCGCTGGGAAAGGAATGGCTGCTCATCAAGAAGGAGTGAGCCTGGGAAGCGGGCTGCCTCCTGCCCCAGAGCCAGCACTAGGGTATCGTGGAGGAGAGGGGCTGCATCCACCTGAAGAAAGGGACCACATTTTCCTAACTGGCACAAGGCACCAAATGGGGCTACAGAGGCCCTGAGCCCCACCCAAGGAGGGTTAAACAAACCCTCACCAAGTCTCACCACATCCATCTGAGCAGCCCCTCTCTCTCTCTCTCTCTCTCCCTGCCTCCCCCTTCCCTCCCTCCCCACCTCCCAGGTATGAGGACGAGATCTCCAAGCGCACGGACATGGAGTTCACCTTTGCGCAACTGAAGAAGGTAGCCTCCCCAGCCTGCCCCGGGGGCTCCTTTCTCATGGACACTCTGCCCTCTTTTGCTCAGGATCCCCAAGCAAAGCCCCCAGAGGCTGAGTCCCAGGACCACAGGCAGAGAGACATGAACCTGTCCCCACCCTGCTCCTTCTGCCAGGCTCTGAGCCAGGTCTCCTCTGGGAATCACCCCCATCTCACCCAGGAAGCAAAGTTCCCCCTACCCCACCCCTGCCCTGGGACCCCTCCGTTCCCTCTCCCATCATTCACAGCTGCTCCCACCCCCAGGACCTGGATGCAGAGTGTCTTCGACGGACAGGACTAGAGAACAAGTTAAAAGGCCTGAAGAGCTTTGTGGTCCTGATGAAAAGCATCTACGAGCAGGTGAGAAGATGGGGCCAGGGTCCCGCTGAGCCGTGGGTAAGGGATGCAGGGGAGGCAGAGGTGTCCAGTGGGTCGTGGAAGCTTCAGCAGGCACTCACTGTTGGCAGCCACAGATGTAACAGTTTCCTAAACCCCTTGCACGCTGCTGTCAATAATCCAGCGTGTCCCCTCATCACTCATTTCATGGAGTGCGGCAGGTTCCCACAAAGCCTCTCTCAGGCAGAGCCCTGCTCTCATGTGTGCTGGAGCGCTGAGGGCATGCAGGGGACCAGGTACATCGAGGGTCAGGAGGTGGCCTCAGGCAGGGAACCAGGAGGCCTTGAACAACCGTTCTAATTGAACTAACCTCTCTCTCATCCCCGTAGCCTAAATTACAGACACCCCCAGTTCTAGCTGTGATAGGCCTTCACTGCACCCTCCTCCATTTGGGAGTCAGGCAGGGAAGACCTATAGTCAGATTCTCTGGTTCCCAGACAACACTAGCTTCTGCCAGACAAAAATGACGCACTAGGAACTTCCCTGGCAGTCCAGTGGTTAAGACTCTGCACTTCCACTGCAGGGGGCATGGGTTCGATCCCTGGGGAACTAAGATCCCACATGCTGTGTGGTGCAGCCAAAAAAAAGACACAGTAAATGTAGACAGAGGAGCCTCCAGACACATTCTCATATGTCCTCAGCTGAGCCTGGGGGAACAGCGGCCCAGCAAGGCCTGTCCCACTGCCAGTGCCGCCAGCAGATGAACCCTGCCACTGGACTCCACCCCTCGGCGCCACTCTGCCTCCCGGGCGTCCTTTGGGGCATGTGTTCTCCTCTCTACATCCCCTGCCTCAGGGGTGAGGAGCCTGATGGGGCGAGGCTTCAGTTCATCTACAAGCAGGCAGGACCCTCGTTGGGGATGACAGGGTGCAGCGGCCTGTGTGCCGCAAACCGCTGGCGCCAAGCTATGGCAACGCAGCCCAGGGCAGAAAAGTCACCACCGCAATGAGAAAGGTCTGCTGAAATGCCCTAGGGCTGCTGACCATGGCTTCAGGGCCTCGCCCTGTGGAGACGAGACTGGGCCTCGTGGCTGCACGTGGGCCTCGCTACTCTCCAGCGGCTCAGCCCCGAGAGGGGCTTCCGTGGGCCTGAGACCTGCCTGCAGCCATGGGAGGTGGCAGAACTGAGAGAACACCCCAACCCTCACCAACAGCAGGGAGGCAGCCCTCGCAGGCAGACCGCTCCAATGCCCACTGAGTGGCGCGGGGAGCGGGTGCCCCGCTGCCCACACTCACCAGGCCTGTTACCGCACCGGCAGACGTCAGCAGGACCAACGTTTCAGCCTCTGGTCCGTCCTGCAAGCCCAGGGCCAGGTGGAGGCCCTACAGGGGTAGAGACATAGCTGAGGAAGGTCAGACACAGCCAGCCATCTACCCGCCAAACCTCTGGCCCCCACCCCAATAGCCAGGCTGTGGACTCCATTCGGACTTGGCAGCCCTTGGGCCCCAATCCTGACTCTAATTTTTTTTTTTTTAACCATTTCTGTGACTCAGAGCAAGTTATTTCTCCCCTCTGTGCCTCACTTTCCTCATCTCTAAAATGGGGAGAGTGATAGTAGCAGGCTCATCGGACTGTGATGGGATAAATCCGTTCATTCACTGAACAAATGTTTATGGCATGTCTGCTAGATGCCAGGCGCTGATATCACAGCAGTGAGCCAGGCGGGCTAGTTCCCTGCTCTCAGGAGGGCACAACTTAGCTAAGAGGCGACAGGCTAATAAGCACCTATATGGACAAGATCATTTTGGAGGGTGAAAAGTTGCTGATATGCAAAGAAACAGGGTGATGCCTTACTGCAAGAGGGCAGGGAAGCTTCCGTCCCCGAGTCCGAGTGTTGACAGGGTTGCATCTCAGAGGAGGCCCAGCATGTGAAGGCCCAAACCAGGAAGATCCAGCTCAGCAGAGACTTGAGGTGGCTTCCGCCAAAGGAAGAGCTGTGTGAAGCACCTGAGGCAGGAATGATTTGATCCTGGGAGGGAGAGAAAGCCGCAGCTGTGGCTAAGGCAGGGTGGGCAAGGGCCAGCTCATGCAGGGTCTGGGGCCCAGGATGGGCTGTGGGCCTTATTCTAAGCATGATGGGTAGCCCTTGGTAGGGACCAGCGTGGGTGCTACAGACGGGGTAAAGGTATGGCTTGTGCTGCTGGAGGACTGCTGTGGAGAAAGGGCCACAGTGAATGCAGAAGTGCATTTATTATTATTTATATTATATTATATATATATTATATATATTATATTATATATATAATATTTATATTATATTATAAATACTATCATATTGTATATTATATTATAACATATTTATAATATATTATTATTACATGTTATATATAATATATATAATAACAGCAGTTATTATTGCTTTGGGAGGCAGTGAGGTGGCAGGTTGATATCGGGCCGTGAGGTTTGAGTTTCTCTCCACACACCTCTGTAGGCTGAGAAGGCAACACTGACCCATTGCTAAGAAGATTCCCCACACCGGCGGGTCTCTAAGCTGGCACTGCCTAGTAGAAATATAATGCAAGCCACATAGGTAATTGTAAGTTTTCTAGTAGCCACATTGTTTTAAAAAGCAAAGAAACGGAAAAAAATAATTTTAATGTATTCTATTTAGCCCAATATATCCAAAATATGATTATTCAACATGTAATCCATAAAAAAAATGAATGGGCTATTTCACATTCTTTTTCCCGTTCTAAATCTTCAAAACCTGGTCTGTATTTTACACCTCCAGCTCATCTCAGTTCTGACTGGCCACATTTCAAGTGCTCGTGACCACAGAGAGCTAGTGGCTACCGCATCAGACAGAGCAGGTCCAAGCACAGGCAGCTGCCAGCCATGGCCAGCTCAGGTAGAAGGAAAACATGGCGGGATGTGAGTAGCTCCAGGTGAGGCCAGACTCTCTGGTTTCAACTTTGGAGCAGACACCAGAAAAGCACGGCTATATAGGCCCACCCCAGGGTCCCAGGAAAGAGCCCTACCCTCTCCCCAAAACACACACACACACCACACACACACACACACCCAGGATAAGTTGTGGAAGGCCTTTCCCAGAAGCCAATGGCCATAGGCTGCTCAGGGCCTCGTCTACACACTGCAGCCTCCCAGGCAACCCCTTTACTCCTCACCTCCGGGAATACAGGCTGTGAGAGGACCCTGGGGCCCCCATCTCCCCTCAGCTTCCAGCGTACACCCCAGGTCCCAAGTGCACTGGGGTCTGGCTGCATCCAGCCAGAATGCCACCTGCCCCACCCATACACTCTGGCTCCAGGGAGATTAGCTACGGAATCCACTGACAACCTCCTGCCGCCAGGCACACCTCCTAGGATGCTGATGCCTGCAAAGAGGACCTGGCATGACTAAGCTGCTTTGGCACCTGCCTTTGTGGTGCCTCGGGAGGTTGCTCCAGGCCCTGGACACCTCCTCCCGGCTCCATCACCGTTACCAATCACAATAGTTTCCTTAGCTGTTGCTTATTGAGCACCTACTACATTCCAGGCACCAGGCTGGGTGCTTTCCAGATGTAATCTCATTTACTCTTCCCAATAACCCTATAAAGTAGGGATAAAGATTAAGAAATCATGAGCTTTAGAGCAGCTTGGATTTGAATCCTGGCTTGGTGATTATGTGAACTTGAGCAGGTTCCTTTATTTCTCTATGCCTCAATTTCCCCATCTGTAAAATGGGGAGAACAATAGCACCTAGCTCACTGGCCTTTTGAGAGGATTTATTTTGCTAATATATCCTAAAACACTTAGAACAGTGTCTGACACATGGTATTTGTTAAATGTTAGCTGTGTTCAGTTCCATAATTATACACATTTTTCAAATGAGAAAACTGAGACTCGGCTAAGTTTACAGACTTGGCCAGGGTTGCTCAGGTAATAAGATGTGGTGGTACTCAGAGCTCAGTTCCCTTTTCTTTTGGCCGCACCACGTGGCACACAGGATCTTAGTTCCCCAAGCAAGGATCGAAACCGTGCCCCCTGCAGTGGAAGCGCGGAGTCTTAACCACTGGACCACTGGGGAAATCCCCCAGTGCCATTAAACACTACATTTTACCAAGCAGTACTGGTATCCCCTCAGAGTCACCATCTTCCCGGACCTGGGGGACAACAACGAGAGTGGTCATACGCATGGCAGCCTCCTCAGACTCTGGCTCCTAAGCGAAGCTCTAAAATGTACCTCGGCTTAATTCTTGCCAACTTGAAGGTACACATCCCATGGTGGCACTCCCACACCACACAAGTCAGCATTGTTATGCCCTCTGCAGCCCGGCAGGGGCCGGCCTGTCTGAACAGGTCTGCAGACGCTTTAAACCCTCCACCTCCTGCTGCTGTATACCATGCTCATGCTTACGCTGCCTCTTTCCAGAAAGGATCTGAGGCTGCCCCATCAACTGTGTTTCTCCCATCCTTTTGCCCCGGTGGCGCCCTGTGTTCTGAAGCGCCCTAGCCTTTTCCTGGTCCACAACAAACGCTACCCTAGGCCTGGGCTGGAAGTGTCCCTGGAGAGGTTTGTCTGAAACACCCCAAGTCCACCAACCTACACAACATGGTGACTGAGGGAGCCCCAAGCTACATCTCTGGAACTGTTCACAGCCAAGCTCCAGCAGGGATGTCCGTTCCATTTGGGAGATGCCAGTCTCCAAAGATGACCCGAGGCAGCAGAGTTGGGGCATGAATCCGTAGGCACCGTCAACCTTATTCTGTCACGGGTTGGGGCCTCCTGCTGCCTCTGCTCCGAGATCTCTGTTAAGTCCATCTGCAGATCAGCCAAAACCCTCCATCAGGGAACCCCCTAAAGGGCAGCTGGCCACTGAGCTCAGAGTCCCGCGGGCTCCAGGGTGGAGACAGGCTCCTGCCACTGCCCAAGCTGCCTTTTCCAGGAGGCGATCCTGATCACCAGAGATGCTAGTGGGCGGGGTCAGGCAGCAAGCAGACAGGGGAGGGGCGGCCTTCCTCTGCAGGCCTCGCAGCTGCCTGACCCCGCGGTCTACAGCCACAGGGATACGAGCTGCAGGTCAGCAGCATCCGCAGGTCCAGACGCCAGAGCCTCAGCCACAGCCTCGCTGAGCAGAAAGACAGATGAGGGTCGGGAGGGGGCCCCAAATCAGGAACCAAGATCAGAATGTGGTCACGAGCCAAAAACAAAACCTGGATCTGAGCAGGCCTCCTGATCCAACTGCCACTTTTCAGGAAATGCAGGGGCCAGAGGAGCGTGTTAAACACCGACACGCAGGGCAATCGGTCAAATTCAGACTATGGGCAAGCAACTCGGTGTTGTCAATAAGAAAAAGAAAAAAATAATAACAGAGAGAGATGGAGATGGAGATGGTATCTACAAAATAAGAGAGACTTAGAGACATATGGACCAATGACAGTGTATGGACCTTGTTTGGATCCTGAATCAAACAAAGTTTGACCTGGCAGGAGTGACTATGTCGTCCCTGTCCCACCCCCTCCCTCCCCCGGGGCTGAGCCCCGCCCCACCTCCCAGGGTGCCCGGCCCCCCTTCCTGCCTCTCCGAGGCTCCCCGGCCACCTGCCTCACTCTGTCTGTAAGATGCTGGCCACGGACACTCTGCTTATGCCCACTCACTCCTCCCCACACGGGCCCCACCCAGGCCCAGGGTGTTGATCAGCACCTCCAGGGAAAGCAGCCCAGGGCCCTGGAGGTGACACCTTGCAGCCCCTACAAAGACACCCGTCCCCACCTGCCTTTCTAAACACCCCTGAACCTTCAGGCCAGAAAGCTGTCAGGCTGTGGGGCATGACAGAAAGCAGATCTGGGGCTTCAGCTCCTGTGTCCACCCCACTATGTGAGCATAGCAGGAGCCGCAAAGGCTCTGGAGTCCAGCCCTGTACTCACAGCTGTTTCCATCAACTCTGTGCGCTGCAGTCTCCTTCCTCTCTGTCATCTGGGGCTAACAATCGTGCCAGCCTGATGAGGAGGAAATGTGAGGATGCCTGGAAAGCCCTTAGCACACACACAGCCTGGGCTCTCATGAGCCCCCAGGGAAATGGGAGGTTTTAACGCTTCCGGGGTCTCTGAGAACATAGGCTAGCATTTTCTGGGCAGAGAAGAGGGGAAGAGCAGGATCCCAAAGGACAGAGAGAAAAGAAGATGTTGAGGCTAAATCCTGTTGTGGCCGGGCAAGCCCCTCAGCTAGATGGGGAGGGGCACTGAGTCCCCAGGGTGACCCTGGAGTCACCTCTGCCTTGGCCACTGGCAGGGGAGTGGGGATGCTCGATTGTCAGCCTCTGGTCTACTCCTGCCCTCATCATTCATGGGCTTCCATCCCAACATGCATTCAACAGAGACATTCCCCTGCCAGATATGGAGGCCTGGAGGTGAAAATGGCTCATCCAGGCCCTCGGGGAGTTCCCGTCCTGGGAGGGCAGGGGTAGGGGAGGCCAAGCTGCCCAATGGTAGAATTCCCTCAGGCCCAGAGGTCCTGGGCCCTTTCCTCCCCCGCCAGGAGAGGAGGAAGGTGGTCTGCCCTGGGAGTGGACAGCAGTGTAGACGGGGGGAAACAAGAGGGATAAGGCTTGTAGGGTGGGCCTCTGGAGCCAAGCGTCCCTCCCTGTCCTCACAGAGAGGAAGACCAACAGGTGGGTGAGCCGGGGGGCCAAGAGCTGCTTCCCAAGAGTCCAAGCTGGCCAGGCGGGGCAGGGAGGCATCTATCCTCTGAGCATCTCTCCCGGGAGACAGGGAGGAGCCCGCCCTCCCCTCGCCCCGGGGGATGAATGCACAATGGGGACTATGTCTGGCTGAGGGTCTGGTGCCCCCCTACCAGCCCTGAGCCCCCAAGTCTGTGCCCGGCCAGGAGCTGAAGGACCTGGCAGCCCAAGTGAAGGATGTGTCGGTGACCGTGAGTATGGACAGCCGCTGCCACATTGACCTGAGCGGCATCGTGGAGGAGGTGATGGCCCAGTATGACGCCGTCGTGGCTCGCAGCCTGGAAGAGGGCAAGGCGTACTCCCAGAGCCAGGTTCGGGGCTCACGAGCAGGCTGGGGAAAGGCAGCCAGGGCAGAACGGGCTGCAGCAGCGATGGCTGAGGCCGCCTGCAGCTCTGCGTGCTGAGACTCTGGGAGAGGGGAATGGGGAAACACAGGGGGGACGGAGCCCACAGCAGTGAGTTCACAGGCAGAAAGGAGAATGTGAGAGCCCAGCGCTGTGCCCGGCTCCAGGGGTGATGGGGACAGGGGCAAGCCCACAGTCTGCACTCTTCAGAGGCTCACGGTGGTGCTGCCAGCCAGCAATGCCAGGCCAGGTGTGGGTACGGCCCATGGGGCTCAGTCTAGGGCAGCCAGGAGAGGCCATCCAGAGACGGACGTGGTGGGGGGAGGAGGGGCAGTGGTGGGCCACAGAGGAGGAGGTGGCGCCGGGGTGAGGAAGAAGAAGAGGCCAGGGGCCAGGGTGCCGGGGGGGACACACTGAGTGGCCCCTCACTGCCGCCTCCTCCACAACCTCCAGCTGGAAGAGCGGGCTGCCTGCTCAGCCGAGTCTGGGAACAGCCTCCAGAGAAGCCGCGGCGAGATCGCTGACCTCAAAGTGCACATCCAGAAGCTCCGATCCCAGATCCTCTCCATCAAGAGCCATGTGAGCGTCTAAAGTACCCACCTGGGGGTGGAGCAGGGAGGAGCGTGGGACACACTCTCGCCCACTCACACATGCACACAGTCACACATGCTGAGTCCAAGCAAGCCCTGGCTGAGTGACCCTGGGCAAGTCACTTAGCATCCCTGGGCCACAGTTTCCTCATCTGTCCTCCTAAGATGGCTCTGCAGATCACATGAGGAGCCTTGCAGGTAGAAGTGCTCTGTAAACTGGCCGGGGCTGTTGGCACGCTGGAGGGCCCTGCCACATACACCCAGAGCCCACTGCCTCCCTCCAGGCCTCCCACCAGCTACACGGAGAGAAGGGAGGGGAGGACTAAGCCCCAGCTTCCAGCCAGAGAAGTGCCATCCTTTAAGGACAGTTGAGACAGGCTCCTCTGGGGGCCTGTTGTACTTCCCCCTTTGGTGGCCTTGGGAAAGTGTCTCCTTAGGTCTAGCTGAATGCCCTCTTGCTGCAAGGCAACCCACTACCACGCTCAGGAATGCCGTGCTAGGTCCTCCCTCCCCGTGCACACCCCCACCAAGGACAGAGGTGGGCTCCTGGCCCTGGCCCGGTCTCTCTCTCCCACCTTTGCTCACTGACCCCTTCCCTCTGTCCTCCTGGCTGCAGTGCCTGAAACTGGAGGAGAACATCAAGGCAGCCGAGAGCCAGGGTAAGCTGACCTTCCAGGACGCCAAGGCTAAGCTGGCCCAGCTGGAGGCCGCCCTGCAGCAGGCCAAGCAGGACATGGCGCAGCAGCTGCGTGATTACCAGGAGCTGATGAGCACCAAGCTGGCCCTGGACGTGGAGATCGCCACCTACCGCAAGCTGCTGGAGGGCGAGGAGAGCCGGTAGGAGCTGGACCAGCGGGGTGGGGCTGGGAGCTCGGGAGGACTGTAGGACCAGCCCCATAGAAGGCTGGCCCTCTCCACCCCCTCCCCGCCTGCAGCATGATTCTATGAGCCTGGCAGGCCTGGATGCATGTCCTGGCTCAGCCACTGAAACAAACTGGTACCTCGGTCCAGTTCATTAAATTCTCAGCTTTCCCATCTGGAAAATGGACCGATCATAAGCATGGCTCGCCTGTGGTGTGGAGGATTAATACGATCCTGCGTGCAAATGCCTGTCACAAATTAGTGCTCAGTAAATGACAGCCATTCATGCAGGGGAAAGGGGACAGAGCCCAGAGAGCACAAGCTGGCTAGCCAGGGTCACACAAAAGGGCAGCCCAGAGCTGGGAGTGACAGCTAAGAATTGCCCTCCTCACGCCAGTCCCCAGGCCCCCAATCCCAGGGGAGCTTAAGCCACAGGCTCCCTTCACATCCCACCATTTCCTCTCCCCCAGGATGGACTTGCCCTCAGCCACTATGATCAGATCCATGCAGTCCAGATCTAGAACTGGTGAGCCCGCTTGGCCCAAGAACCCATGGTGGGAGGTGGACAGCGGGGGGATCATGGCCCTAAAGGCATCATATTAAATGGCTCCCAAACCTCCAGCCCGTACCCTGCCCCACCCCTTATGTTCCCTGTAGCTGCCTCCAAGTGTGGCCTCTTGAGAGCCCCCTCCTGGAAAAAGAAAACCAGGGGAGACCTCGTGATCAAAATCACTGAAACCTCAGAAGAGTTCCTCTCGCAGGAGTCAGAGCTCTCACAGTAAGGCTGCTGTCCAGACCCCAGGAGCCCCACGTCATTCCCCTGCAGCAGGACGAATATAAGCTAGACTCAAGAAAGCAGCTTGGAGCCTCTAGGTTGGGAAGGAAGGCAAACCTGACCCTGAACTAAGAAGAGGAGGGTTGGAAACAGTGACTGCTTTTCTGTGGGTTGCCAGGGATCCGACAGGACTGTCACCAGCTATTCAAAGTCACTGGGCTCCATATCAATATCTCACAGTCCCACCCTTCCAACCTCTGGCCAGAGGTTTTCCTGACTGGGTAAACTGGAATCGGGCGTCTGCTTTCCCTGCACCTCCTCGCTCCTCCCCCCGACAGAGGGCTCTGAACCAAGGTCCCTCTGACCCTTTGCCCAACCCTTGCCCTAAGCTCACATCTCAAGTCTTGCCTTGCCTTTGCCTCGGAACCGAGGCGATGCCCTTTTTCCCCCAGCCCTGGCCAGCCACGGGCCAGGGGCTGATGGGACTGCCTGGGCACCCTCTGCATCTGGAGTTCCTGGGGAGGCTGGGTGCTGAGGACCCCTGGCTTTCCTGCACCACCTGGGCTCCCTGGAGACCTGACAGTATTAGGAAGGGAGGGGAAGAGGCTCCCTGGGTGTTTGGGACCTGAGCCCGGACCTCTGAGATCAGCGCAGACACCTGTGCCCCTTCCCTCCTCCTGTGGGTCCCTCCCAGCAGGTCACAGTCAGACGTGGACAGGCTGCCCAGCCAGCTCCCAAGCCCCTTCTCTAGAAGTTATTCTTGCCATGATGAACTCCCTGGCGGGGAAGTGGGAAGCGGGGAGGCCACATGGCAACCGGAGATCAGGCAGGAGAACTGGACCCTCCTTTCTCCTCCCTGCCATCCTGGGGTTCACCACCTTGCCTGGGATCTGAGCTCTCTGCCTCCCACCCAGGTGTTTCCCAGCCTGAAACCTGGCTTGGGTGCGCCAGGCCCTTGAGACCCCCTAGCCCCACCCCTGCCATGAAACCCCAGGCCCATTTCCCATGAACCCCACTCCTGGGTGTCTCTGTTCTCTGCATGGGGCCAAGCAGCCTGGCCCTCGCCTCCTCTGCACCCACACCTGTGGGTTAGAGCTCCTTCCCTTCTCCCCCCTCCGCGCCTCCTCCCTCCATGCCCGCCCCCGTGCCACCGGGGTGGGAGGGTAGATGGGTCATGAAGAAGGCACTGTCCACTCGGGTCTGGGAGCTGCTGAGCCCTTGAGGTCGGGCGGGAGGGCCCCGATAACAACCAAAGAGAAATTGTGCAGCGATCCAACAAGATTTGGGGCTCCTCTTTCCTCCCCTTGGCTCTCACCTTCGGAGGCTTGCAGGGGGATCCTGGCAGCTCCAGCCTGCCACTCCATAAGCCACCTTCCTTCCCTACCTGCCCCTTGCCTCACCTCCTCTTCTAGCCCCAGTTTTGATTCATTCATCTTGTTTTCCAGGAGAGGGTGGCCCAAGGCTCTGGCCCCCTCCTAGGTCTCAGGGTCCTCCAGGCCTGTGGGGGGCACTGAAGGGCTACTGACTCTCAGGCTTGAGGGAACTCAGACATACACTCATCCCTCAAGTCCCAAAAGGGTGCTGATTGCTGCTTTTTCTCTGCCTATTTATTGGTTTCCAAGGGAGCAAATCCTCAGTGGGGATACAAGATATAAAAAGTATATATATATATATATTATTTTTTCATAACTTATACATCTTTTAACTTATTGCTTCTCTTCCTGTTTCTGCGTAATCAGTGCTATGTATTATACTATCTGGAGAGACAACACGTCAGCCACCCCACCTGACTGGCTGACTATATTGGGGCAATGCCCCCTTCTCCCCGCCAAGGGATGAATAAAGTGCTGAGATTTGTCCATGGATAAAGCTGTGTGTCTGTTTTTATCTCCCCTCTCAGGATTGGTCAGTCACTGGTCAATCAGGTTGACCACAGGACTTTGGAAATTCTCCAGTTATGGGGAAAGGAGTCCAGGGACCTAGTTATACCTTCAAACCAATGCAACTTGGATACAAAAAGTTCTCCTGCCCCACCATCCAACAAGAAGGCTGTACCGGTGTGACCTATGTTCCCAGCGCCTCCCGATATGCCCAGGCACCACGTGGCCGCCTCAGCAAGCACAGACACGGGGGATTCCCTATGTGACGGCGGTTCCCCCTCAAGCACTTCCGTCTGATTGGGCTGGTTGGCACAGCCCAGAATATTTTCTGATAGGTACAGGCCTAATCCTGCCCAATCAAATTCAAGATCAACAAACAAGGATTGAGGGCCTTATCCCAGCCCAGCCCTGTGGTAGGACACCTATGAGCATTCCCCACCCCGCCACCTCGAGAAGCTCGCTGTCAGGTCAAGAGAGGAGCTATCTGCTCACAGCAGCCAGCTGAACTTCCTCTCCAAGTGAAGAAAGCAGGGGAGAGGGGCTTGTTCAGGGAACCCGGGGATAGGAAGAAGAGATGTCTCAAGGACAGGAATCTTGGGGGTGAAGAAGGGCCTTTGAAGCATTCGTGTCCTGGCTCACCCACTCACTGGAATGAAGCCTCAAACAGAGCCTCACTTTTCCCATCTGTAAAGTGAGCATACAGCTTCCCTACTTACCTAAAAGGGTGTTTGGGGATCTGACAAGATGGCTGGGTTCACTCCTACCAGGAATAGCACATGTCTTGCTTGAGCACTCCGAACAGCTCAACAAAGGTAAAGGATTATTAGTGATGTCGTTATTGTTATTACAGCAGATGTTATGGCTTAAAGACAACCCACTAGTCGAGAGACTAAAATCAGGCAAATAGGCCTGAGGCTGGCTCTCTCAGGGCACAGCACAGCCATGCCCTTGGGCTGGAAGACTAGAGGCTTCCATTCAGGGTTTATCCATTCTCCTGGGGCCCCTGAGGGATGGGCTCCACTCTCAAAGCTCAGAAGAGACGGTGGATAAACCCCATTCCTATTCAGGAAGGGCCTGGGAACTGAGACCAGCTCTCTTACTCATACCATCTTTGTTTTTTATTGTATTAATTTCTGAATTACTACTTATCTTTGTTTTCTATTCTGTTAATTTCTGAATTATGGATTTCTGAATACTAATTTGAATTTCTGAAACTGAACTCATAATATTTATAACATAAAAAATAACCTATCGTTATTTCCTTTCTTCTACTTTCTTTGAATTTATTATTTTTATCAGTTTTTGACTTGTTGAGTTGAATCTTTAGTTTTCCATCTTTCTTCTTTTTCAATATAAGATTGTCTAAAGACCATAAATGTCCTTTTATGTACTATTTTGACTGCTTCATATTAGCATTTTTTATTAGCATTTAGTTAAAACGGTTTTATTCTTTGACTCATAAGCTGTTTAGAAAGCTCCCCACACAAGGGTCACGTATTTCACATTTACTGAGCACATACTTGGTCTGTGCCTGGCCCTGCTCTGCATGCTTAGGGAGACATTAAATCCAGCCAGCATTTATCTCTGTATCCTGGCCTGCCTAATCCTCTACTTTAGCCATGCTTCCATTGCCTACTTTTGTGCCTTTTATCCTCTAAACTCCTTGTGGGCAGGGATTGCACCCCATTATGTCCCCAGAGCCTTGCACAGTGCCTGACCCGTAGCAGGTTTTCAATAAAAGTAAAATTAATGAAAGAATGAATGAATGATGTACCTCCCCAACCGAGGTCTCCTAGCCTAAAAGTCCCATGAAGGGAAGGGCATATCTCCTCAGCCTTTGTGTCCCTGGTGCGAAGGTAATGCCTGGCAAGTCGAGTGAGCACAATTAGTGCACAAAGACAGAGAGAGAAGGGAGAGGGATAAAGAGAGAGAAAGAGGAGGAGGAGTGCAGAGAGGGAGGGAGGGACAGAGGGGAGGGAAATAATGACTTCCCTACCCAAACGAGGACACTCTCCTGCCCCGCTCCTGCCACGGAGGATCCTGATGAGTTGCCAGGAAGGCTGGAGTCTGACTCCCCCTCCTCGTGCAAGCTCCCTCCTTCCTCCTCCTTCCCACTCCTGGCTCCAGAGCGATTCAGTGAACACCTAGCCAAGGGCACAACCCCTGGGGCTTCCCTGGTGGCGCAGTGGTTGAGAGTCCGCCTGCCGATGCAGGGGACACGGGTTCGTGCCCCAGTCAGGGAAGATCCCACATGCCGCGGAGCGGCTGGGCCCGTGAGCCATGGCCGCTGAGCCTGCGCGTCCGGAGACTGTGCTCCGTAACGGGAGAGGCCACAACAGTGAGAGGCCTGCGTACCACAAAAAAAAAAAAAAAAAAAAAAAAGGGCACAACCCCTGCTCTGAGTACAACAACAAAAATAAGCCCCTACCTGGGCCTGGCTCCTTGGTCTCTGGTCCTCCCAACCACCTGTGAGGTGGGCTGGACAGGTATCATTAGCAGAGGCCCAGAGAAGCCTAGCACTGTAACTTTGGTCACCCAGCAGATAAGAGGCAGCAAGTTGGTTCCCTGGAACCATTTTTCACCTGTAGACTACCTGCCACAGGGACAGTAAAATGGCCAAGCCCGGGAGTTGGTGAAGTGCAGACTGAAGGTCCCCATCTTCAAACACAAAGGGTGCTGGGGCTGAGTAGGTACCCAACAGCTGGTGCCCAGCCTGAGCCCCCAGGCACAGTGTGGAAGATCAGGGCTCAGGGGTCTTGGGCCAAGACTAAGTCAGTGCCCTGGTAGTTGCAGAGAGATCTTCCTCTAAGGGGCTCCCGCGACCAGGGCCTAAGGCAGGCCCTGTGTGCTGGGAGCTGACTACACGACCTCCCTTCCTGCCTCTTCTGGTCTATGTAGGCCTGAGGAAAAACAGCTGGAGGGGAGGCAGTCCCTGTGTTTGGGAAGCTCCAGAGGCTGATGGGGGGAAACAGAAACAGAGAGACGGAACCAGAGATACCCGGGCAGAGCTCAAGACCTCAGCACTGGGGCCTGCAGAGCAGCTGGGGGACTTAGTCAAAGAGGGCTTCCTGGAGGAGGGGAGGGAGGCGGCTTGGGAGGAAGGGTTGTCTGGTCTGGCAAAGAAGAAGGCAGTGAGAACGGCCTGGGGGCGGGAGTGGAGCAGGCTGCCAGTACCAGGCTGAGCAGAGGAATGAGGAAAACTATGGGGGCACGGGTCATAACGTGGGGTAACCCCTGAAACCCCCACCAGGAGATAAGCCAACAGGGGCAGGAACTGTGCCTTATTCAACTGTGCGTCCCAGCGCCCAGTAGGGTGACAAGCACACAGTCAGCGCTTACTAAATGCTGAATAAATGAATGACGGCATGAACAGCAGGTGACTGCAGCCACCGAGGGATGCAAGATTTACTCGTGAAGGACTTTTTGAGCACCTGCTATGTGCTGTGCCCTGTGCTAGGTACAGCAGGGAGGAATGGGGTAAAATGGGGTCCTTGCCCTCAAGGGGCTTCTGGCTTCTGGCCAGGATCCAACTCATGGTCCCCTGTCACGGGGAACCCTCTGTTGTGGCCTACCACGTGACTGATCGCCGTGGGACCTCGGGCAACGCTGGAGTTGTTTCTTCATCTGCAAAATAAAGGAGTAGATGAGTGCTGCCACAGATCCCTCAGGGTCAGCACCTTGATGGTCCCCTTCTGCTCACCCCCTGCACACTCACCTCAGTTCCCTGGGCAACACGCCCTCCTTGGAGGCCGCAGTCAGAGGAATTGAGAAGCGGCCAGCAGAGCAAATCCTGGTTCAGGCTGTGTGGTCTTGGGCAAGCTCTGGGAGACAGAGTACCTGTCTCGTAGATCTGGTGTGAAGAGATGGTGCATGATAAAAGAACTTAGCGCTGTGCCTGGTACATGCGAAACGCTTAAAAATAACAATATAGCAAATATGCTAGCTGTGGGAGCCTTTCCCCTTATCCCAATGGAGTTGGAACTTGGCCAGGAGTGGTTAGGCAAGCTCTGCCCAGCCTCACTCGCATCTCCCTCCCCCCAACCCGCAAGGAGAGGCCAGGGGCTCAGAGATCTGTTGGAGGGCGGCTGAGGATTAGACAAGGGAAGGGAAGGGGAGGGGCCCAACCTTCCCGTTCCCCGCAGAAGCTGACCGCCCACATTCCGCTAGGGAGAGGTCAGCGCCCGCCCGACTTGCGCGCACCTCGGCAACCACTGCCCTCTGCCGGCCGCGGCGAGACCAGCACGTCTTAGGAGCCTGAGCCTGCAGAGGCTTCCGCTCCCCTGGGGAGGGTGAGGCGGGAAGCAGGGAGGGGGTATGCGGTTCCCAGCGCTGAATCCATAACCCACATCCCCGCACATTTAGCGCAAATCTCAGGCCTCAATGTTCGGAGGCTCCCGGGGCTGAGCCCTCAGAGCTGGGGCCACAGGCTAAGCCATCTCCTCTCCCCACCACCACGCCCCCGATCATCGCCCGCCCGCAGGGGCAGGCTCAGCACCTTCCACAGAGAGGCTGCCGCAGCCCACAGGCCTCAGAGACCCTGATCCCACCTGGAATACTCAGCCCCCAGGTGTGGCTCCTTCTCATTTGTCAACCCAAACATCACCTCCTCAGAGAGACCTGCCCATGTAAAAGAGCCCTCACCCCCACTACCTGCACACTACTTTCTATTTTCTGTTTCATGATTACCCTGTCCTGTGTTCTTCAGAGCATTTAGCACAACCTGCTTTGTCTGTTGACTTTCCCTTCTTTAATGTATCAGCTGGGATCTGGTCAGGAAAAGAGAAACCAGGCTAGGCATTTCAAACAGAGAGGATTCAACGCAAGGAACTGAAAGTGTGGGTATTGAAGGTGTAAAGAACAAAGGAGGAAAGCAGAGGTATTCTAGAAATTAGTAAACACTGAGGCGACATCATCCCTAGGGCTAAAAAGGTGGCCTTACCCAAACCCAGGAGTCCCCAGGGGGCTGGTTCTTGCACGTGGGGCAGGGAATGGATGGGTAAAACATTTTCCTTCTACTGGGAACAGTTGGGACTTAAAGACCGGGTGATTATTCTGACGAGGTGTCCAAGGCCCATGTGGGCTTCCAGAAGGTGTACTGCACGTGCGTCCTGGTGGAGAATGTGTAACCCCTGCAAACCCCCGCTGGAACCCTCTGTTCAGAAACACAAACATCTCCCAAAAATAAACAAGTGAGACTACATCAAACTGAAAAGTTTCTGCACAACAAAGGAAACCATCAACGAAATGAAAAGGCAACCTACGGAATGGGAGAAAATATTTGCAAATCATATCCTTGTTAAGGGGTTAATATCCAAACTATGTAAAGCACACATATAACCCAATAGCAAACAGCAATAATAACTAATAATGACCTACTGTATAGCACAGGGAACTCTACTCTGTACTGGCCTATAAGGGAAAAGAACCTGAAAAGGCGTGGGTAGATGTATACGTATAACAGATTCACTTTGCTGTACGCCTGAAACTAACACAACATTGTAAATCAACTATACCCCAGTAAAACGTTTTAAAACTAGCAAATAACAATAATAACCATTATCTTCATCCAATTTAAAAGTGAGCACTGGAACTGAATAGACATTTTTCCAGAGAAGACATACAGACGGCCAACAGGCACATGAAAAGATGCTCAACGTCACTCATCATCATGGAAATGCAAATCAAAACCACAATGCGATATCATCTCACACCTGTCTGAATGGCTGTCATCAGAAAGACAAGAGGTAACAAGTGTTGGCAAGGGTGTGGAGAAAAGGGAAACTTGTGCACTGCTGGTGGGAATGTAAATTGGTGCAGCCACAATTGGTGTAAATTGGTGGAAAACAGTATGGAAGTTCCTCCAAAAGTTAAAAATAGAACTACCATATGATCCACTTCTGGGTATTTATCTGAAGGAAACAAAATCACTATCTTGAAGAGATATCTGCAGTCCCATCTTTATTGCAGCCAAGATATGGAAATGACCTAAGTATCCAACTATGGATAAAGTTGTGGTATATATACTACTTAGCCATAAAAAGAAGGAAATCTTGCCATTTGCGACGACATGGATGGACCTTGAGGATATTATGCTAAGTGAAAGAAGTCAGACAGAGAAAGGCAAATACTGTATGATCTCACTTACATGAGGAATCCGAGAAGAGCAGACTTACAGAAACAGAGAACAGATTGGTGGTTGTTAGAGATGGGGCGGGTAGTTGAGGAAGAAGGAAAGAGAGAAAGAAAGAAAGAAAAAAAGAAAGGGAGAGAGAGAGAGAGAAAGAAAGAAAGGGAAAAAGAAAGGGAGGAAGTGGGGAGGAATGAGAGAGAGAGAAGCAACACCTCCCCCACTTTGATTGGTATATTTTTGTACGATAATAATTTTTTTCAAAGGGAGAAACCTGCCTCTCCCTCTCCCAACTAAGGCACAAGAGTTTGGTGGATATTACCGTAGCCACTCAACTTCTGTCCCAAAGAGAGCAAGAAAGAACCAGAACACTCCTGCCGTCTCCTCCTCCCCGCCCCCTGTCCTCCAGCCCTTGACAGGTTTATGGCAGCTGCGGCCCAGCTGAGGCCTAAAAGTCAGGGACACCCCTGTCATCAGCCCCCATCACCAAGGGATGCGTGCCACTCAGAGCCAGCACTCAGCATTCACTTGACAAATATTTATTGATGCCTACAGTGTACCAGGCATGTTGCAGGCTCTGGGGAGAGAGCATGAACGAATGTGCCCAAACCCCTGCTCACATGGAGTTTACATTCTCATGGGGAAAGACAGATAAGAAAGAAACATGTTATAAAAGATATAGTTGGTCAGATGGCAATAATAAATGGTATGGAGAAAACTTAAGTCGCAGTGTGCATAGGGAATATTGGGGGTGGGGGGAGTCATAGGAGGTCAGGGAAAGCCTCACTGAGAAGGAGACATTTCATCAAAGCCCAGACAGGGATGAAGCAGAGAGCCACATGGATGCTTGGGGAAGAGCATTCTAGCAGAGGAAACAGCAAGGGCAAAGGCCCTGAGGCAGAACCCTGCCTGGCATGTTTGAGGACCTGCAAGGAGGCCAGTGTCGCAGCAGCAGTGGAGGGACAAGGGGGAGAATGGGAGGAAACTGGTCAAGCTGGGGGCCAGGCTGTGCCCGGCCTCATGGGCATTACTGGACTCCAGCTTCAACTGAGTGAGACGGAGCGTTTGGGATGGAGAGTCAGATCCTGACTTCTGTGGTAAGAGGCAGAGGACCAGAGCAGAACAGTTAAATCTGGAATTTTCCCAGCCCAGTATTTGACAAGAAATGAAAGAGAAAGAGCCTTCTCTGCCAGCCTTTCTTTTACCCTGTAATTTCCATTTTGGAGAATCAAAGGACAAGCCGTAGGACACCTGCCCCCATTAGAACCTAAGCTCCTGGAGGCAGGTGCCACCCTGTATGAAGTGCTCATCACTGCACCCAGAGGGTCTCACAAAAGGGCCTGGCATTCAGCGGGTGCTCATTAAAGACCTGGGGAAGAAATGTGCAGACGTACCGTGAGGGAACCTCCGGAAACTTGTAATAGGCTCCACGGCCAAGGTGTGTGTCAAGGACGGTGCTGGGCACCTAGCAGACATCGTCCCCTCTTCAGGAGAGCTTGAGTGCCTTGCCCAGGGTCACCCCGAGGCCGAACGGAAATCAGACGGCAAATCTGTCTGACTGCAGGGCCCTCGCCCCCTTCTTACTGCCACAGAGGCCCAGCACACCCTGTCAGGCCAGTGGGTCACGCCCAGCTCCCTCTGGCTCGCCCAGGGCCCTCGAACACCAGCCCAGAAGGCTCCAGATGGGGGAGGGGGCGTCCCTTTGCCTGTCCCTCTGAGGGTCTGTGAGTCTCTGGGTAGGGGGGGTGGGAGTCTGACCCTCCGTGGAGAGGGTGTATTTCTGTCCCACTGGGAATCTGGCCCTCCTGGCGCAAGGTCGGTCCTCCGGATCCCACCTCCACCCGCCCTGCTGGTGGGACTGTACCTGCGTTTCACCCCCGCCCGGCCGGTTGCCATCCCGGCGGACCTGCCTCGCATCTCCATCCGCGGGCCCCGAGCGCCCCCAGCCGACCGCTGCTCCGCCTGCATGTCCACGGCCAGCAGGAGCCCGAGGGCGTCGGTGCAAAGGGGCGGTGCAATGAGAAGTTCCCCGACACCCAGAAACCACAGGGGAGTCCCATCTTGGATTGAGGGGGGATTGCCTGCCACACACAGTAAGGGGACAGGGCACAGACCTCACAGATGCACCCTCCCGGCCCTGGGACTCTCCTGCAGGCTCCCTGGAGCATTTTCCGGGGTATTGGGGGTCTGAGCCTTGAGAGAGGTGGGTAGAGAACGCCAGGGGGGAGGGGCAGGACCGGGGCTCCCGGGGCCAGACCACAGAGGTCCTCTGCCCCTGCCTGGGACTGAAGAAAACCCAGGCTGATCCCCAACCCCAGCCTTAATCCCTCTTATCCCCTGCGTCTTCCTCTTGTCCAACCCCTTGCCAATCATATCCCTCCCCAAAATGGCTTTCCTTCCAAATCCTCAGAAGTCCCAGTGCCATCAACAAGGCCATCGCACATCCCATCTTGGCACTTAGTCAGGAGCTTGAGAAGGGGACAGGAGGTGGGTGAGCAGCAGGACAAGGTCAGCCTTTGGAGAGGACGACATATGCACAGGCTCACAGCGGTGTGCACACGTGAACGCATGTACACAGCATGTGCACGTGTGCACACATGTGCACTCAAGTGCCGTATATGTGAACACATATGCCCGTGGGTACATATGTGAGTCACATGCTCACACACGAGCGTTGCATGCACACCTCCATGCCTGGGCCCAGGTATCCACACCTACAAGCAGGTGTCCTTAGATAAACACAGACTGATACAGGTCTGCCATCAAAGCCCACAACTGCACACTTGGGTACACACACAGCCCTCAGTCGATACTCATGTGCACACACGTCTACACGTGCCTGGAGGAGAACTAGACTCTGGAGACAGAAAGACCTCAGTTTGAACTCTGGCTTGGCTTCACCACTCTCTTGCTCCGTGATCTTTTGTGTGTGCAGCTTTTCAAAGCCTCAGTATCTCTGTCCGTA